ACCAATATTGTTTGGTAAACTCTAGCCATACCAGTATTGTTTGGTAAACACCACCAGCACCAATATTGTTTGATAAACACCAGCCACACCAATATTGTTGGTAAACACTAGCCACTCTAATATTGTTTGGTAAACTCTAGCCATACCAGTATTGTTTGGTAAACACCACCAGCACCAATATTGTTTGATAAACACCAGCCACACCAATATTGTTTGATAAACACCAGCCATACCAATATTGTAGGTAAACAGTAAAATTAAAGAACTCCCTACAAACCATAACTAGAAAACATTAGCCTCTATATATGTGTGGGGGAAACACAAGCTATATTCTTTGGGATACATTCGGTGACTGAACAGCTGAGAAAAAAAAAAGGCCAACAGACCATTGGGTAATGTACATGTGAAACTTGTGCTCCACAGAAAACAATGGACAATGAGGTAGAAAAACTACGAAGTCAATTGGAGGAAGAAAAATTTAAAGTTGAGCGTCTTGAGGAGCAATTGAATGATCTCACTGACCTTCATCAGAATGAAGTCATCAATTTGAAACAAGATTTAACATCTATGGAAGAAAAAATTGAATACAGATTAGATGAACGCACAACTGACCTGTCTGATTTAGTGGACAATGCCTCCACAAGGGTAATGTATTGAATATTTTAGTAGATACAATGTTGATTTACTCATTCTGTACCATAGAGTATTATGATTGATCCTTTGCTTTTACTATCAATTAGGAGCTTTAATGATAGCGTCAGTTATACCTTGGTTTTAGTGTCATTCTACAACATGTATCATGGAATCATTGAACCCATGCTTTTAGGGTCATTCTATAGTATTTAATTGAATTATATTATACATTTAAATAATGTACAAATATTTTTCAATCAACATCAAGAGCTTAAAATGACCGAATAGTTCATTTTTATTCTAATCAAATATATATACTTAAAGATATGGTAATGTAAAAAAAAATACCCAAAACTTTTAAAATGTTAGGCAATTTTGAAAAAGTCACATTTATTGTTTTGGTTTTGAGTACCTAGTATTATTAATCTTCTCTGGCTTAACCTCTGGTAAATGTGTAGTAATCTTCATTTAGTGTAATAAAGATTTAAATGTCAAAACAGTTGTTGATTCTTTAATCTTACTAAAGTAGTACAATGTTTCTACTTTGAATCTGTGAGACTTACTACATTGTTTATTGGTTTGATACTTAGAAGTGTGCCCAGTGTGCAGCCAAACATTCCTTGCTCACATAGGTCTCACCAGCCACATGAGGAGACACAAAACCTCAGTGCAAAGCCCTCAGCCCCATGGATGATAAAGTGGTCATCATCGAACTACGATGGACGAACTCTATATATGTTGTACATTTATGAAATGTGTATGTTATTAAAGTGATTCAGAATAAAAGTTGTGTAATTATGTTGAAAGGATCTCAGTTTTTGAGCTTACACTTTAAGTTTTGGCATCACAATATTGTTTAAGTGTTCTAAGTATTATTTGAAAGAGAAAACTTTTGGAAATTAGAACATCTGAAACGCAATTACCTGATCAACACAATCTAATCATAACATCAATCAAGATATCGTGACATCTGGCACTTAAACATATCTTATCAGCTGGTGTACTGAACTGCTGGACAGTGCACAATAGTTTGTGTTTCAGCAACAAAAGGGTTTGTCACTAGTATATATAATATCATTGTCAGTTCAAACAACACTTTTATGACTTTCCATCCAAAAATAGCTGAGCTAGTTTGGTCACATTGTAAGACATAACTCATAGCTGAGCTAGTTTGGTCACATTGTAAGACATAACCCATAGCTGAGCTAGTTTGGTCACATTGTAAGACATAACTCATAGCTGAGCTAGTTTGGTCACATTGTAAGACATAACCCATAGCTGAGCTAGTTTGGTCACATTGTAAGACATAACTCATAGCTGAGCTAGTTTGTCACATTGTAAGACATAACTCATAGCTGAGCTAGTTTGGTCACATTGTAAGACATAACTCATTGGCAAAAGTCATCCTTCAAGGTACAGTGAAGGGAGCATGAAGAAAGGGTCATCCAAAGAAAATCTGGATGGATAATATAAAAGAATGAACCAGCCTCTCTCTTGATATCCTGCTGCTGACCAGAAATAGTGGAAGGATTTGGTTACGCTGTCACAGCACCCCTACAATGAAAGTCAAGGAACATTGCAGAGTTAAGAACACAAAATGAAATCATGGAGGCATTGGGTTTTCAATTTCTGATTTGAAGATCCATCAACAATTCTATGTACATATTAAAACATTTATGTAATAACTTAAATATACACTTGAATTGAAATAGTGACTTTTGTATAAATAATATATAATTTACTAAAGATGGTTAATGCTAAAAAACTAACCCTTCACTAATTCCTTAAATCAATAAAATATTTGTGTAAACCCAGTTGTTGTTTCCTTAGATCTCTAGGCTAGAACAAGTGCAACAGCAGCAACAGATTCTGTCCATGGAGATGGTGGAGAATGCTACTTTCAGGACCATCATTTCAAAACTGATTAATGTTGTTCTTGCCATCCTGGCTGTTATTTTAGTCTTGGTTAGCACAGCGGCCAGCTTTTTATCTCCCTTTTTAAACTCAACGTAAGTAAGGAAGAGGGCTATCTTTTTTAAAACACTTTCTTGTCTCTACATTGAATAGTCAAAGTACATTCTACACAGAAAAGTCACATATACTACATAGAATAGCTACATTAAATACTACATAGAATAGTTACATTAAATACTACATAGAATTGTTATAGTAAATACTACAGAATACATAACATGCTACATAGAATTATTTCTGTACATAAAAAGTAATTCCATCCCATGGAACCAAGAGTAGTTCTTATTTAAAATATGTAATCACTAGACCAAGTGGCTGTCATATGGTCATTTGCATAAATGTTCATCACATAGTCACTTTGTGAGTAAACATAAAAAGAAATAAATAAGTCATTAATAAGCATCCATCACAACAGATAGTATCTAAGTGTCACCCAACAAACCCAACCCATAATGTTGTAAGTCATTAAAATATACAATTGTATTAGAAAGTCATGAACATGCTGTTGTGTTGCTTGAACTGGCCTTCACATTGCTAACATGTGAACATAAAAATTTGATTCAAATGATAAAATATTAATCAATACTACAATTTGATCTCCCTTACTTTAATAAATTTTCATTGTGCAAGCCACATCTCCCATGTTCATTACTTCAAGTCCATAAGATATGAGAAATGTGTAATAATAATGCCAAAATCTTTTATTCAGAATGAGTGTAGCATTTCACATGACTATGCCAACCCTGTTATGACCTTAACTTTTCATCTTCCGCACCTATCTTCAACAAGGGTTGTGTTTTTGGGTGTCGCAAACGTGAGTCCTGCAGCGTTTGTGAGAGCTCTCCGTCTCGTACAGAACCAGTCTTCTGCCAGTGAGGGTGAACTGATTGATCTCTATAGTGTTTACGGTGGGGGGGGGGGGGGGGGGAGGCTGGGGGGGACTTTGTTATGCTGTCCCCCTTTAAGCTTGCCAAAAAAGATCGCCTTAGTCATCTGATCGTCCCCCATGCAGGATTAGTGTCCAACCCAGTACAGCAGTCGAATTGTAATTAATGTTTCTATTCTGCCCATACCATCCTCCAACAGAACAATTTGATTGGAATAAATTATCTTCTTTTATTTATTGACCTGTGATTGAAACATGCATCCAACACAATGTGATATCTTTGACACAGCATTTATCAATTTGATGGTCTCAACATTTTATCCATTTAAAACTGGTCTTCATTGATATTTAATGACATTGGTGCAACATCCATCAATATTAGGTGGCCTCAATACATCATTCATCTCAGTATTTATTTTTCATTTAAAATGTATTTCAAACATGATTGTTTTTCAGGCCAAGGTTGGTTTTGTCTGTTCTGGCTACTATTACAGCATGGCTAGTGTACCAACATTACAGCTCTCTTCAAACAATGACCTTCTCTCTCTGGACATTTTTTTCCTGGCCATGGAGCTGATCATCTGTTTGATTTAGGCCAATTGACTTGTCCATGACACACATTTCAGCCATAATGATTGAAATCTTTCACCCCATAATGGTAATAACCTTTTAGTTGTGAAAGTAAACATTCAGCCATGATAAGTCTTTTATCATCTATGGTAAAGACCTTTCATCTGTGATGGTAAGGACATTTCATCTATGATGGTAGAGACCTTAAAGCAATGATGGGTGATATTAAACAGCCAAGATGTTAAAAACCTAAACAGTATTGAACAATCTGCCTGACACATGATTTTGTTTGATATTCAGACTAGTATGAGACCAAGTCCTACTCACTTTGAAGGTGATATGTAAAGTATCTAGGACTAATATGTCTGACCTGATATGTAGCCTGAGTTCCTTCCACCATGTTAGTAGTTTTTATTGTGCTTTTTTGATGTGCTGACATTGCTAGAAGATGTTAAGAATAGGAATGGCTAGCTGGACATTAGTCACTTTTAACTATAAATATGGTAAAAAAAAAAGAAGTATTTTTGCGTGTGAATGTAGATTTATATTTTGGAATAAATCCTGGTCAACGTTATTGAGAATAGTCAAGTCACATCTGACGTCTTTAAGATTTGGCCTGTGGTCAAGTAGTTATATATAGTAACTGAACTTCGACTATTTTGAAAATGAGTATTCTCTGAATTATTATATATATCAGATCTACTTTTCTTCTATGGTCACTTAATAACTGTTGTGTGAATATTTTTTTCCTTTTCTCAATACTTTTAGAACTTGTCCAATGGTAGACAAAGTGTAAATAATCTTTGGACAGATTATTTCATTGATAATTGGTTACTTGTAGAACTGACTACTAGTCAATTAGGATAGAAATATTTCTGAATAGTCTTATTAAACTGGATATTGATCAAAAGCATTTTGAGAAATTAGCTGGCTTTGTCCTGGCCTCTGGTCATCTGGCCTCTGGTCATCTGGCCTCTGGTCATGAGCCTCTGGTCATCTGAAGTTGAAATAATCTTTTAGAAAGTAAATTTTTTACTTTAGGTTGATTACTTATACATTCTGCCACTGGTCAGGGTTATTCCATTGAAGTGGGCACTGATCAAATGTGAATTGATATTATTATCTTCTGTAATGCATGTGTTAAACTTTATACTGATAAACAGTTCAATAAATATCCCAACCATTGTAACTACTGACCACTGGTCAGCTAGAATTACTCTTGAATCAGACAGACTCATCCACTGATGCAGATATTATTGATCTAGTAATAATGCTCTTAATGTTTTATTTTTTTGTCCCTTGTTAAAAAATCAACAAATGGTAGAAGTAAGTGACCATCAGTTTATCCATACTAGACTTTGTACTAGGAACTAATATTTGGTTCTAGGTTGGTTTTTATTTTTGATGTTGCCTTTGTTTTATTAAATTCATGTTTTTTGTTTGTTTTTTTTAAAGCTATTGGGAAATGTTTTTATTTAATAATTTATACACAAATAAAATTGACAAAATATTTTGATCATATGTATTTTTTTTTAAGTTCCAGAGATATACTTAACTAGTTGAAGAAATTAACTTACTAGGTTAAGAGATTAACTTACTAGTTGCAGAAATTACTCCAACCCTAATGTGTGGGTCAAACCAGTTCACCTGATGAATTTTTCTTAGTGTGAGAGTTAACATGGAGTGATGCTTTTTTCATGTGACTACGGGACTAGACTTCTTAGCCATACTTGCTCTTGAGGTCTGCAGCACTGGCACGTTGTTCAATACTTCGTCTTCTAGGTTGGCATTGGCTGAATAAACATACGTTTAAAAATCCTCTTTAATTCTTTCTTGTAAAGCAATAGGGATCTTTCTACATGGCAGAACCTTGGGCTTAATGTTGCTATCAGTCTTTAAAGACACTTCTACTAAATCACTAGTAAACTTTGGACTTCCTCTTGGTTATTCACTACTGATACTATGAACCTATCTTTACTTCTTCCTTGTTCTCATCTTTATGTTGGAGCGTTCAACTGACTAGACCAATATGAGATGAACTGCACAGCGGTTTCCAAATCAGGGAGCTCTCCATATAGTTTTATTTCTGGGCCAGTGTCTTGTACGGTCCTCATGGTAAAGAGAACAGCTTTGAAGGATACGGTCAGCATTCTGTGATGACACTTCACCTGCATATATGCTGCTTTTAATTTTCGATTATTTAGATACTAGTCGACCGGCGGCGTAGCATACGCCGCTATTTTGCAGGGCCGGCCTTAGGTGACCGCAGTGGGCTCCGCACTTTCATAGGACCCGCGCTAATTCTAAGTGTATAAATTATTAAATCAAACCATTTTATAACTTATAACAGATTTCCCGCGGCCACCTGTCGATTTACCAGGATCTCCTGGAAATCTCCTGAAATTGCAAAATACGGTATACGAAAAAGTCCTGGAAATATCCGGAAATTTTTAAAATCTTTAGAAAACTCGTATTCAGAAAACTCGTACAAATCTCCTGAAATATATTGACAAAAATTGTCATTTTGGGCTGTTATTCAATATGGAAAATGCCAATCCTACGCGCGATAAAAAAAAAACGCGTTATCCCGTAATTTTGGAATCTGGTTAAAGAAGCTTCTCGCGCCTCAAACTGATGAAGAATTACTTTAGTTTAACAGTTCTCGTAGATAGATTGAAACATTTGGTAATTCTTGCTATTAAGCGTGATCTATGTAGGAAACAATTATTATGATATACTGTATGACTTCGCTACACGCAAGGCTCGTAAAGTAGTTCTGTACGTAGTAAAAAATGAATAAAATGCAAAGACTAATTTATTTTTTAATACAAACTCTTAAATTTCACTCATTATTCGTGGCGTAACTCTAATTCGTCCGACTTGCAGAAATAAGAGAGTGATCTTTACTTCTTTTTCTCGTCCAAACTCTTGAGCGAAGAAGAGAATTATATATATATATATATATATATATATACCTTTATCCAGTTGTACGTTCTGTGGGATATGTGATGGTGGATTAGCTTGAGCAAGAGACCTTGTTCCCAGACTTTGTCAAATGCTTTTTCTAAGTCAACCCACAATTGTTGTTGGTTTCTTTTCTTGAAAGCTGTCTTCTATTTCTTGTGTGATGAAGGCGATTTGATCTCATGGGCGTAGCAGGGGGGGGGGGGGGGGGTCATAATAAAAGTGAACAGTCATCTGTCAAAATTGAAAAAGACTAAATGTGGCCCAACAAAGATGGCTAAAACGGATTTTAGGAGTCAGTTACAGAGATTGGGTCTCAATCAAGGAAATCCTATGCCGAACTCGGAGTCGACTCTTTAGTAAGCCAGGCTCTTGAGAAAAAGATTGGTTTATTAAGCAATATAAGTCTGTTCTCTGCTTGCCATCCTTCGATTTCTTCTGGCATTGAGGTCTGGGTATCCCCAGCTCTGAGAGTGACTAGTCATATCCCCTAGGACAAGACATTCTGCTTGGTCAGGTATTTGTATGTGGTCAAATCTCTATTTCTTTGTCTGGTGGGAAGTAACAGTTAGATATATCAATATTTTCATCTTGGAGAATCAGCTTTGTGCCCATTATTTCTGATTCTGAGGAGTTGGGCAGAGTTATGTCTGTGGTAGGGATGTCATTTTTTTTTTAGGGTGACGATTCCTCCTTTGGGTCTGTTTTCTCTATCTTGTCTGATGCAGGTGTAACCTCTACTGGAGAAACGTAGATTACTGTTCAAGTGAGATTCTTGGATGCATAAATATTTTTAGAGCTTCTTTTTTCTTATAGATGCCCTCTGCATTCCACTGTAGGATTTCTTATACTTTGGTGTTGGCCAGTAGTTTTTACTTTCTTGTCCGTGCTCCTGCCTCCACAGGCAGAGATAGAAGAACCACCAACTCGCTTGTATGGACTCTTTCGAGGCGGAGAGCCCGGCCCCTAGCTGCGCGGCGGGATTCCACAGGCAGGACGGGACATCTATTAGAATCGTTACTGAACTCCAACATAAATGAGGTTCCGTGTCAATGTATTATGCGCCAGGAGACCCATTGACTCCGACTTCAGCCTGCTTTTATTTTTGGGTGTGCTCCCATAGCCTTTGATCATCCAACATCATCTGCAAGGCAGCAGGTGTTTATTTTCGGACTTTTCTCTTATAGATGAACTGCTGTCCTTAGCTAACGAGCTTCATCTACCCGGGTTTAGTGATAGAGCGCCCTATACTTGCTTTTTGCAATAATTTCCCTGGATTTCTGAGATGTTTTTAGTAAATACACTGGAATACTTCACCTCATCCTCCATGACTGTATACCAGTTTGTCCGCGACTGTTTATTTGCTATTCACAGCTAACCGTTATATCTAAGGGTCCTTCCCCTATCCGCCACCTGGGAACGCGCTTGGTAGAAGGTGTAGCTCCCCCAAGCTATATTTATTGACATTGATTAATTTCATTCTAGTTAAAGTTTTATGACTTAGAAGGCATGCTAGATTAGTTGATAACACTATATATGCTATCTTAATGTTTTGTTAGTTTTCTCATTTCTCGTTGTTAGAGTGACTTTCACTATGGGGTTCATTTCAGTCTAATTCCACATGAGTAATCTTTGCGTTGCCTTTTCTATCTGATTCTTATTGACGTATCTCTCCTGTATGGTATTTACATCAGCTCCACTATCCATTTGAAACCATACACGGTCACCATTCACTGTCATAACTGCTGTCATCCTTTTCGTTTTCCTTTTCTCTAATGACATCTGTGACGGACCTCGTGTATGACGCGTATGATTGGCTTGTTTGGTGTCTAGGGGATGATTATATTTGAATTGTCACACACTGGTCCATCAGAGATAAATTGGGAGCAGACACGCAACGAGACAAACAATGGAGAAAGATACAAATGTTGAAAAATTAAATAATATTTATTTACATAAATGTACAGGTAAAATTAAAAAAACAAGGGGTGGGGGGATTTGCATCTATCTAGTTAACAATATAACAATATTGTATCATCATACTAAGCACTTAATGAGTATATGTCACTTTCTCCTTTGCACTTAGCTGGTTGTCCTGGCTGTAGGTCTTGCAGCTGAATGTGGCGCTCTGGCGGGTAGGGAGTCGCCGGTGATACAGTTCTTGTGTAGTCTCAATCCAAAGTTCTGATATCTAGTGGGCACAGTAGGGCGGGTGGCCGGCTGATCTGCCGTGGGCAGCGTCGTTAGCAGGGTAAGTCTAGTGAGCTGCAGAGATTTGGCGATGCTATGACGTCTCGCACAGACAAGTGGTCTATAGGAACGTCGTGCCTAGTAGGTTGACAAGTGGATTGTCAAATAGGCAGGCAAGTAGAGTCGATAGCGCCAAGTAGTAAAGCCAAATAGGCAGGTAGGCCAATAGGCAATTGAGTAGTGTCAGGTAGGCAGATGACACTGGATAGTAGGTCCAAGTAAATAGGCAATCGGCAGACACCTGAGGGAGGCACCAGGTATTCCTCTAAGAGTAAGAATGAATGAAATAGTCTAGACTCGACTGTCAGTGAAAAGAATAAGTGAGGGAGTGAGTCTATCCCGCCTTATTCTAGCTTATAAAGGTTCGGAAGAAATTGGCGGAAACAGGAAAGGCGATAGACTAAGGATTATCTCTTACGTGGGTAAAGTCCGACGAAAGTCGCACATTGGAAGTGTCACGAGGCGTGTTGACTCGAGAAGGAACGAGGTGTACTCCATCCCAGGTGTAATCAACGTGAAAGTCCGGCGCCTAAGGCCAACGTAAGTGACTGTGTGTTTATCTTTACCCCGGTCAAGGGAAGATAAGCGGAAAGTAGTGGCTTTGTTGTCGACAAGGTGGTGGACTCAGTCTAGCTAGAAGAGAAAATGGTGGGGTTGGTGATGAAGTCGGGGCTAAAAGGGGGAGATAATTAAAAATAAAATAAAAAAATAATAATTAATGCTGTGATAAAATCGAGTGACTCTGTTAGCAAGCTTTTGACTTGTGACAAATAATGACATCTACCATTTATTTTCTATCATCATGACTTATTCTGTTGTGTTTGACTGCAACTTACTTTCATAGTCCGACATATCCTCTGATACCTGCTGAATTTTATTTTGCACATCGCGGCAAAATGTTTCCCTTTACAAACTAGGCACATTTTACCCAATTCAGGGCACTTTTGTTTAGTGCATTCGTGAATTCTTCCACAATACCTGCAATACGTCTCCGAATGTTTGTTCTTGAAGGTATTGCTATTTTCTCAATGATTGGAGGGTCGGCTTGTATCTGTCTCAACTGTTTGTTGGCTGTCTCTTAGGCTCTGCAAATGTCTGTGCACCTTTCTAATGTAAGATTACTATCTTGTAATAATTTCATTTGAGGCCATTAAGACAGGTTAGCGAAAGTGGCGTGTGTTTGGCGTGTTTAATGTCTTGGGGATGATTATTTTTGAAATTATCACACACCAACCCATCAGCATATAAATCGGGAGCAGGCACGCAACGAGACAAGCAATGAAAGAGAGATACAAAGTTAAA